CCCCTAGAATGAGTGGTATGTAAGAAGCCTTGTATACTGAGTATACCTCTAAGAGGAATGGTAAAAGAAGCCCTGTAAACTGAGTATACCCCTAGGATGAGTGGTATAAGAAGCCCTGTAAACTGAGTATACCCCTAGAATGAGTGGTATGAGAAGCCCTGTATACTGTGTATACCCCTAGGATGAGTGGTATGAGAAGCCCTGTTTAAAGAATTCTTGCACGAAATAATAATAATATTCAACTAACTAACCTAGTAGTACCTATCTTAGTAATAGTAAATAGCTCTGCTATCTATATATCTATATATCTGTCTACTGTCTATCTATCTAACAATATATCTATCTATCTATCTATCTATATATCTATATATATATCTAAATATCTATCTATTCATCCATCTATCTATCTATCTATCTATCTAATTAGCAATCTATCTATCTATCTGTCTAGCTATCTAAATATCTATTTATCTATCTATCTATCAATCTAATTATCTATCTAAATATCGATATATCTTTCTTTCTTTCTATCTATCTATCTATCTATCTATCTATCTATCTATCTATCTATCTATCTATCTATCTATCTATCTATCTATCTATCTATCTATCTATCTATCTTTTCCCCCCCCCCCCTCCCATCTGGATGTTGGAAACAGATGTTGGTAGAACCAGAAGATCTGAAGATTAAACAATATTCATTATATTCATAGATTATAGAGATCGGACAAAAGAAGAAGTTGTTGCGTGTTTTTCCTAATTTTTTCCTCCTTCATTTTATAAAGTAAAATTTTTAAATATTACTTTACTTCCAACCATTCTCATTTAATCATAAATCTAACATATTAATGATTTCGTAGATTTTGCTGTTTTCATTGCACTATAGAATCTCCCTAGAAGAGGCTGTCTTGTTCTACCTTATATGGTATATAGACTGTATGTGTATACTGTACAGCTTGCTCTAACTGCTTAAAAGTTAGCCCGGTACTTGAAATGAGCTGGATTTTACAGTGATTATTGGTTTTCCAAAAAAAAACAATTAACAGATTTTTAAAGGAAAAAATGCCAATTCTGACTCTCCTTAAACCCCAAATAAATTTAATATTTTTTATAAAAGTAAAGTGTGCTTAATATTGTACTTATTAACCTCTATAACCGTCGGGAGATGATGGTATACATTGAGAGGTTAGCATCAACGAGGTTATAGTGTATAGAGTGATGCTATACGCTAATCCTTTACTAATTTAATAGACCATAAACTATACCGAGAGTGTACTGCATATTTGTTTATTATAAGTTGATTCTGACCTACCCTACAGTATATCAATATTAGTAAACAGTTGTAAGTGTACAGTACGGCTAGCCGAGCACACAGGTAGAGAACTATCATTCCTCCTGGTTAGCATTCACAAAAGTTTACAGACCTAAAAATCGACTATCAGCTATAAGCATGGTCTATCAGTTTAAACTATAGTTTTGTAATATTATTTACAAATATTATACAGACTACAGAGACTCAGAACCTTCTATGTATGTATATACTTTTCTTGTCTGTTTGTATCCAATAATCGTCAAAACGGCTGAATCGGGCCCAAAGGAATTGAGTTTTGCCACAAATCCCAATTTTATTATATCTCAACAACCAGATGATGCATACCTTTCATATTTCAAACTTAAATTGTTTGATCCACCAGAATTCATAGCATTTGGTTTTAAAGAAATTGGGTTTTAAAAATCTGAGTTTGTGGCAAAGACTCAATTCCTTTCGTGTGGGACTTTAAATGTCCCCAGGGAAGGTTTATAGATGATCAAAATTCCATTTTCATTAAATGTTGAACATCTACGAATTTTTTTTTTATAAAGTCCGCAACTTTTTTTGTTTTTGTTTTACAAGGTATACAAAGAGAAAATGTTCACAATTGAAACAAAGATGGCCGCGAAGCGCCCAAAAAGCCTATATGGTTATACTAATCTTAACATACCATGTGAGTAACTATCATAATTCCAGAAATCAATGGACATCAAAGCAATACAAACTTAAGTGTATTGTATGTTCTTATAAAGTAAATCAATTTACTACATATAATAGACACTCATTAAATCACAAAGGAATTGAGTTTTTGCCACAACCTCAAATTTTCTAATTTCTATATCTCTGCAACCAGTGGGATAAGAATATTTGAGTTTGTGGCAAAAACTCTTTAGTGAAATGGGTCTGTTTAAACTGCATAATTGCTGTGTCTCCATGCTCACTGGACTTTTAAAAAGCTTTATAATAAATGTCGTCTTCCTAGTTCATAGTTTTCTGGTGATCACTGTACGTTACTTTTTATTTTCTTCTGGTGAATTTCATATATAATATTATTTATTTGAAAGGTTAAAATCAGACGTTATGATAAAGTCTGTTTAACGGTTAGTTTCCTAGATTTTCATTGCTGTTTATTCCTCTATACAGCCATGGTTACACTTCCAACTATGCGCTCTTGTGTTGTCTCCGGTTGATATTTAAAATTAAGGATTTGCTTAGTGTAGAACAAGAATATAGAGATTTTATGATATTTTCAAAACTTGATCATTTATTCACAAATAAACCTTTTGTTTATTGTTATTAAAGGTGTTAACCTAATAAAGATTTTATTCTACATTTCACATTTGAAAATAAGCTGAAATGACAATAGTTAAATCCATCTGTTAAAAAAAAATCAATTCTGGTATGTTTTTATTTACGTTTCAATGATTTTTATTGGTAATAGTTATAGCATTATTTATAAATGTATTTATTCATATAGTTTATATTTCATGAACTAGAACACCGAACATGAACAAGAATTATAAATACAATTAAATAAATTGAATTGTCACTAAATATTAAATACATGTATTAAAGAGAGCTATGCACAGATTTACGGTTTTTGATCTGACAGAAGAATGCCCTGTTAGACAAACCAAACACCTTCTAGACCAATCATGCAGACCGGAGCATATAATAATAATATGATCTATAGCATTCTCATTAAAGTAACAATATAATTGAATATATATTGTTTTATATCATATCATAGCGAGTGTCTTTGCATACAGATTTTCTGTATTTCTCTGCTGAAGCATAGTTGACAGTAAATAATTCAACGTTCCGTAGCTGGTGGTTGTAAACAGCTGGATCTACAGGGCATAGAGCAGAATCCTTTGAGATTCCTTCTCTTCTTCTTCTGAACCCTTTCTAGGACCTTTTCCTTAAATCGAATATTCGCCCTTTAACTTATATCTTCTTTCCAATTCTTGGTAAATGAGACATCATTGAGACTGTATCTTTTACAGTGAATATTAAATATTTAGGACTAAACCGGAAGTAAACAAGGACCTACATCTATATATAAATTTGGCTTGTTTGTCTGTCTGTTTGTTTGTCTGTTTGTTTGTTTGTATCCAATAAACGTCAAAACGGCTGAACCGATCGGTCCCAAATTTTTTGTGGGACATCTAGGGAGCCCAGGGAAGGTTTAAGAATCATCAAAATTTCAAATATTTGTCTCTATCAAAATTCGATCGTCATTAAATTTTTTAAAATTTTGAAAATCCGCGAAATTTTTTGTAAAAATCCGCGAATTATTTTTGTTTAGTTTTACGATGTACACAAAGAGAACATGTTTACAATTAATTCAGAAGATGGGCGCGAAGCGCCCTCTAAGGCTAGAAAGAAGGGCGCGAAGCGCCTTGAATTTCTAGTATATTCATAATGCTCGAGAGAGGGGGGCGGGGGGGGGGGACAAAATAAGGATATAGTCCTGTAATCCTTATAGTCTTTTTTATTTACATATCGCCCAATATACAACTATATTCTAAAGGGAATTATATCTAAACAACGACCGTTAAGATTTTATAATATGTATATTTCTATTCCATACACAATACTATATATAGCATACATTAACAAGGTCGGGCCATTTTAAAGGGACTGTCATCGTAATTTCAAGTGACCCTCCATTTAAAGTTTTTATTCTGACAATTTTATTTGATTGTTTCTAAAAGAAATTGAGCAATTCACTTAATATAGAGAAACAACAGTTAATCAATTTCGGACATGCCACTCTACTCCATAAATGGAGCTCCCTTGAAACTACATCTACAGTCCCTTTCAGAGCTTTCTGATTTTGTAGGATGACCAAAGAGAATAGAATATATATATAGAGAGGAATTTACTAGAAAAATGTGTAAAACGGCCATTTTGTTGTACTGTTTCCATACTGCAGGTGTAATTCACATATTTGTGCTATATAACCTTTTGGGCCCTGGAACATCATTTTATAGAAAATCTAAAATTGATATTAAAAGAAAACCAAATTATGAAATAGGCTGGTTTCATAATTGACCAATGATCATTTCACATAGACTCT